GCTTTGTTCACAATCTGAGTCCTGGGATAGACAAGCTGGATGCACGCTCTATTAAGTGTGTCTTTCTTGGCTACTCTCGGACTCAAAAAGGGTACAAGTGTTACAATCCCATTACTCGAAAGTGCTATGTCTGTCCTGATGTCACCTTTTTTGAGTCTGTCCCCTTCTTTTCAGGACCTGAAGCATCGATGTCTCCACCTTCCTCTTCCTCTTCCAGTTGGGGTTGACCCTTCACCTCCACCAGTGCAGATCCCTAATGAACGACCACCGATCCAGCACATGTATACTCATCGACAGACACCGTCTCCTCCTCCAGCTTCTACCTTGTCTGCGGATCCTGTTGTTGCTCCTGTCCCAGAACCTTCAGGACTTGATCTTCCCATTGCTTTACGAAAAGGTAAACGTACTTGTACCCTCCATACCATTTCCAATTTTGTTTCAGTCTCTCGCCTTTCCGCTTCACATCGCCAATTTGTTTCACTGTTGTCATCTATTTCTATACCTAAGAATGTCCAAGAGGCTCTTAGCTCACCTGGGTGGCGGCAGGCAATGGAGGAGGAACTCTCTGCCCTTCATCATACTCAAACGGGGGAACTCACTACTCTTCCTCCCGGTAAGCATGTTGTGGGTTGTAAATGGGTGTATACTGTTAAATACTTGCCGGATGGTAGTGTGGAGCATCTGAAGGCCAGACTTGTTGCTAAAGGTTATTCACAGTTGTATGGGGTGGGCTATATGGAGACCTTCTCTCCAGTGGCTAAGATTGGCTCTGTCTGTGTCTTAATTTCCCTGGTAGTTATCTATGATTGGCCCTTGTTTCAACTTGACATTAAAAATGCCTTCCTTCATGGTGACCTTATAGAGGAGGTATATATGGAGCAACCACCTGGGTTTGTTGCTTAGGGGGAGGATGGTAAGGTGTGTAGATTGAAAAAGGCAATTTATGGGTTGAAACAATCGCCTCGTGCTTGGTTTGGGAATTTTAGTGAAGTGGTGAAGAATTTTGGAATGAAACAATGCCAAGTTGACCACTCGGTATTCAGCTATGATTTAGAAGCCAGAAAGATTTTATTAGTGGTCTATGTGGATGATATTGTCATAGCTGGTAGTGACAAATTGGGGATCGATAAACTAAAGGTCTTTCTGCAAAACCATTTTCAAACAAAAGACCTTGGGATATTGAAGTATTTCTTGGGTATAGAAGTTGCTAGATCAAAACAAGGTGTAAACAGTTGAAAAACAGTCCACTTGATGTATGGAACTGTTTGAGATTAGATGCAAACCAGAAAAACAAACAAGAGAGGAAGAGAAGAGAGAGTTTGCGGCAATGAGTGTTAGAGAGTAAGAGGTTCGAACATAACCTCTCTCTAACACTCTAAACATCTTATTAATAAGTTAATCTTTGACAATTTATAGAGAGGCCCTTGATTGGGCAGGAAAATACAAAAATAGAACATTATAGAGTATGGGCCCAAAATAAGACCCACAACAGAGAGAAACATAACATAACATGAAATGACAGTCTATGGGCCATTCGGCCCATCTTCTCTACATAAACCTATGCCAAAGAAAATATGTTATTGATCTGCTGGATGAAACAGGACTGTTAGGTGCAAAACCAGCTGAAACTCCCATGGAGCGAAATGCTAAGTTGAGCAGTGATATAGGGGAAATATTTGATGATCCTGAAAGGTATAGACGGTTAGTGGGGAAGCTGAACTATTTGACTATCACGAGACCAGACATCTCGCAGTTAGTGTGGTGAGCCAATTTATGCAGAACCTTCGGATACCTCACTGGAATGCAGTTCTTAGAATTGTAAGGTACCTGAAGGGAGCTCCAGGCTATGGGTTATTATACAAACCAGGAGGAAGACTTGAGGTAATTGGGTATACAGATGCAGATTGGGCATGCTCTGTATCTGATAGAAGATCTACTACAGGTTACTGCACATTTCTTGGAGGAAATCTTGTGACATGGAAGAGTAAGAAGAAAACGGTTGTGGCAAGGAGCAGTGTTGAAGTCGAATACAGAGCCATGGAACACACTACATGTGAATTAGTATAGCTGAGGAATCTCCTACAAGAAATCGGGTTCTCCATGGATAGACCTATGAAATTGTACTGTGACAATCAAGTTGCACTCCACATCTCATCTAACCTTGTTTTTCATGAGAGAACAAAGCACATAGAGATTGATTGCCACTTTGTGAGGGTGAAGGTCCTTACAGGAGAGATAAGCACAGAACATGTGGGCTCAGGTGATCAATGGACAGATTTGTTTACAAAAGGCTTAGGCTCAGGGAGAGTGAACTATATATGTAACAAGCTGGGATTATATGACATATATTCTCCAGCTTAAGGGGGAGTGTTAGAGCTAGCCGAATAAGGGTAGATTAGTCATTTTATTTCTGTTAAGTTATGTGTTTATGTGGCAGTTTTAATAGAGGCTTCCTGTCCCATACTTAAGTGGGGGGCAGTTTAGTCTTTGTATAACTAATTAGAGGCTAATTCATATTAGGGTCGACTGATAGGGTTTATGCTATCAGACTCAACTGTTCCTTTTCTTCTTCTTCTTCCTCTGGTTCGAACTGATGAGGCCACTGAGATAACAATTGCCAACTTTCTTAGATCATGTTCCAACTTGTTTCTAGCAACTCCATTGGTGAAGATGTCATCCAGCTACATCTAAGATGAAATATAAGGTAAACTTACTTTTCTTGAAGACACCCTCTCCCTAATGAAGTGCCTATAGTTGAAGAGTGTGAGAATCCGTCTTTTCTCTCTCTAATCCCTTCTGTTTTTGGTCTTTTCTCCAAGATTTCTACTTGGGCAGCAAGTAACCACTAAAAACTCTAAGGATCAGGCTCCAAGAAGTAGATTGATCAGCCCTTCTACTCTTCCATGTAGCCAGCTGATCTCAAGACTGCATAAAATCCACTTCAAGAAATCTTTAAGTGGCTCTGATACACCAAGTAGCAACCTGTCGGATATAAAAATAAGAGGAAAACAGCAAGAAATCTAAAGAGAAAAGACAAGGAAGTGAGCAGGAAGAGAAAGTGAGAAAGAGAGAAAGAGAGAAGAGAATAGAAAGGGAAAAGGGGAGCCAAAAGTTCTATGGCCACCATACTCATCTCTTATTTATATTAAAGAATTAGGGTATGTATAATGACAAATATACCCCTAGTAAGTCAGCTACTAGAAACATAAGGAAAAGATTGTGAGTCAAGGTCCAATATGACTTGTCAACACAAAGTTAAAAAAAGGCTATGCTGGTGGGATAATACTGAAAGCAGTTGAATTTCAGGTATTTAGTACATGGTCCTGGAAGCAACCAAATTTCAAAGCCAAATGAACTGAAACAGCAAATAGAGAGAAAGTGCAAATGATTGCAGAATAGAGTATCAACCAAGCTCTAAAAAGTGAAATGAAATAATTTGCAAAGCTTCTTACCTCTTTACCAATAAAAACAAGGGCAATATCAACAGGCTGCTGAAGATTCTTTCCCAGGCACTAAAGAAAACATTTCCAGCACAAATGATTAGAGTACCGAAGAAAATTTTTCAATCTGTTTTTTTTTCTCTATTTGAGAAGAAATGTTTAATAAAAAAAAAACTATGGAACAGTATGAATTGTTATTAATACTAATTGAAAAGGAAAATACCAGCAAGTTCGACCAGCTGCCATCAGATAGAACAGATTTAGCTAAATCCTTTGGAGATATGGTCCGATAATTAATGGCTTCCTTGATACCATAGTAAGAGCTGCAGTCACTCATGTTTAAGTAATATCTAATATGAGATATTAACCTATAGTTCCTAATATCCTTTTCAACAACAAGCAACAAAAAGTAACAAATACTAGCACATGCCTATCCAAGTTGAGGGTCCTAAAAGAGCACAGGGGAGGCTGGAGAGTATGTAAGTTGAAGTAGAAGGAGACTTGACAATCCACAATATAGTAGTGGAAGTGGATAGGGAACTTGACAGTGGAATTGATGAAAAAATGATTCCTGTGGCTGACTCCAAATAACTAGGATAAGGCTCCATTTAGTCCTGTTGTGTGTACATGTTGTACACACAAAAAAGCCAGTGTTGGTAAATATAACCATCAGAAGAATCTAGGCAATGTATAGGAGCTAAAAGGCATGCTTAGTGAGAACTGAGAACTAAATTTAGATGTCATGGAAATCCAGAATTTCTAGAAGAAAAGTGCATAACAAAATGTAAGTGTACTGCTCCTTGGTTTAGTTAATGAGCTGACATCATGTAAAATCAATAAATGTTACCAGTATGATAAGAACTAATCTACAAAAAAAAGCAGCATCCTGCACATGTTGATATGTGATCAACTTCCTTTACAAAATCTAAAAGGTAAGTACAAAGGAGAGAAACCTGGATACAAAATAATTTAGTAAATGTCTTTTTTTGATAATTAAATAATTGTATTAAAACCAAATAGAAAAGGGTAAATTCCCCATACAGAAAAGGGAAGGGATAACCCATAAACAAGCTTATAGCCAAAACTCCAACCTATCAAAGATAATAGAACCCCCAACTCATTACAAAATTTGGAGAATTGGATCTCCTTAAATTCTGTAAGGATTACAAAATACAAGAGCATAGTTCTTTCAATATCACTAATCAGATGTTGTAGCTCACACCTCTTTCCTTCAAAATAGCTATCTTATAGCCAAAAATACAGTTTCCTGTTAAAGCTTCTTTTATTTCTCCCCCCAAAAGGGCCCTCAGACCGTTCCATAGGGTCTCATTGCTAAAAACTGTTGGCAAGTTATCTTTTATTGACTTTTAGCATATGGCAATAGAGCCTTTTGATCCAAGACCCCTACTTATGGGAAGCATTCTTAAATAAGATCTTGACAATGGACAATGCGGTCCATGTGCAAGGAAAGAGGTTCATCGGTGTCTTATTTGTGCATATATAGTTCCTACTACTCTATGGTTTGGGCATTTCTTATTTGGGAAATTTTTAGGATGAGCTTAGCTTACTACTTGCAGGCTTGTAGCCTGTCATACTTAATCCTAGACTGAATCATTGACATTATGGAATCTTTTATCTTTTGCATTGTGTTGGAACATTTGGAAGGAATGTGATCATTGTATCTTTAAATGGAAGAGTAACTATGTTTAAAGTAGTGAAACAAGTGAGAATTATCTTCTTTCAGTCTTCTACTGTGAAGAAGTTTAGGGGTATCAATTTCTTTTGCATCGCAAACTGCTTGACAAACAATATGCCTTGCTGTCCAAAAATTGAATAGCAGGTGCAATACAACAGAGCAAAAAGTTAACCAATCTTCCTTAATAATTATCAGAAAACAGCTTTACAATGTATTCCTAGGTCCAGGACAACCCCAGCCTAAAGATTGCCTTGAACTTCCTGATTTAGCTAGACCATCAGCTAGCTCATTATCACCCCTAATTCATCTGAACAAACAACCAGACTTCTTCCCAAAGACTGAGCTTCCCTATCTGATTGAATTTCCATGACACCTTATTTGTTGTCCTTGTACACAGCCAATAGATTGACACTTGACAGTCCTTGTATTACCACCATCAATTTTTGAGAAAAGGTTAAGCAGATTTAATTAAAAAGGCAGAGAGTACATGACTAGATGTACTGCACAGTGAAAAGAAAACCCAAACAGCTAATAAAAAGATTACAATGGGGGAAGCCTATTGCTGTAAAGATTCTCTAGTCTTGCTCCGATTTTAGCTAATCCATCTGCAATATGATTCAGTTCCCTCGGTATCCACAGCAAGTTTGTGTTTAGGTCTTCCAAGGAGTCTCTTGCCTCAGCCAGATAATAACTCAACCTCCAAGGACCCCCCCCCCCCTCCTTGTCCTTCAGTCACTTAATGGTATTAGATGAATCTCCTACAATAAATAAATTCTGAATGCCCGAGCTTTTTATTATTCTAATTCCAGTAAGAGCAGCCATCACTTCAGACTTAGTTGAGTCAGCATAACCGGTTGGGCCACTGAAAACCCAACAGATATTACCCAGTTCGTCCCTCAAAATACCCCCAATCCCAGCTACACCAGGATTGCCTGCAACACTTCCATCGAAGTTTAAAGTCATCCCTCCTTCGTTAAGAGGCACATGCAGTCTCTGGATTGATTGAGGGTACGTCGGAAGGAGCAAAATTGTTTGGATATTTCTGTTGAGATCATTGAAAGAGAGTCCTTGGAACAGCTCAGAATTAGCAGTCCAGAGATTACAATGAAAGCAGATATCTGAGATCAACTCTTCAAGAGATCTGATTTTGTTGTCGAATAAATGCCTGCTTCTTTCCTCCCAAACTCCCCACAGAACTGTATGTAGCACCGTTTGCCGGTAAACTTTACCTCTTTTGCTCAGGCTTGAACCTTGCCACTGATGAAGAAATTCCTGAATATGCTTTGGAAAAACCCAATTGTAACCAGCCAGGTTTAAGAAAGATACCAAATCTTTTGAGTGAAATTGCAATGGATGAGTAGATGATCAGCTGATTCACCTTCTCTAAGGCATAACAGACAGGTGTGAGAAAAAATATAGGATCTTCCCAAACTTTTTTTTTTCTGAATAAGGTCACAGGTATTTATTTCTATAGGCACACTTCCCAAACAAAGAAATAGACTCTTGATGGAATGTGACTGCACCAAATCTTCTTGAAAGGGAAAGAGGAACTTTGCTCATCTGCAGTTAGAGCCTTCAACATAGATTTGGAAGTAAAATCACCAAGGTCAGGAAGACAAGAGGAGACAGTTGAGTTTTGATCTAAAGAAAGATTGAAGAGTCTAGGGAAAGATTCTGCAAGAGTGGAGTTCCCCTGCCAGAGGTCTTTCCACAATTTTATTTTATTACCATTTCCCGCTTTATATCTAATGAAAATAAGGAACAAAGAATGTAAAGAGACTATACCTTTCCAAGGATTTGAAGTCTTTACCCGGTTCAAACGAAGATTGCTATCCCACCCGTTTGCACTTGTTCCATATTTGCTTGAGATGACAGCTGCCCAAAGAGCATTGGACTCTATAGGGAATCTCCAAAGCCATTTGCTCAAAAGAGAGGTATTTTCTCTTTTAGATGGCCAACTCCCAATCCTCCCTCTTCCTTCAGCTTACTCACTTGGTCCCAACTTACCAAGTGGTTTCTTTTCTCCCCTCCTCGATCCCAAAGAAAGTTTCTTTGGAGTTCCTCTAAGAGGTTTCTCACTTTAAATGGGATTTGGAAAACCGAAAGGTAATAGATTGGTAGATTTGCTAGGGAGGCCTTTAAGAAAATGTGTCTTCCCCCTTTGACAGATAACATTTTTTTTCCAGGAAGCAAGTTTCTTTTCACACTTCTCCACCACCGGCCCCCAAAAGCTTAGGGTTCTTGGGTTACCTCCAAGAGGCATTCCTAAATAGGAAATAGGAAGGTTCTTGGGTTACCACCATCAATTTTGCTCTTAGGGAGTTGCCAAATCCTTCTATGCATATCTAAATACGCACAGTGTCAGGCTGTCGGATGGGGCCCACCTCATAAAGCCAGAAGCCGCTACGTGAAAGCCCTCCCAAGTGGGCACTGGGCACTAGGATTCATGACATTCCAGATCAACAACTTCTAAGTGCTGTGTTTGGATAAGCTTCAAGATTTTAGGTTTTGGAACATAAAAGTGTTTTGGTTTCAGATTTCTATGTTTTTAAAAGTAACTGTTACCAAACACTCAAAACAGGTTTTGGTTCATTTTTTGTTTCCCACAGCCCAAAGTTCAAAAGCAAAAGCATTTTCAAACAGACCACCAATTGGAATAAGGTGTGATTCTAGAAGTACTTTACCCCAAAATTAACCTTTGAAGTGCATTGAGAGGATAAATGTTCAACACTTTCCTAGGTAGTTCAAACATGGCAGCATTTGGAAGGAGGAGCTAAACAAGAAATGATTAGAACTATCAGAGAATAAAAGAATATCAATAATTAGCTATTAACTAAGGAAATAGATAATTGAAGCCATATACCCTTTGATAATCTAAGCAACAGAAAAATATGCTCCACTCAAAGGAGATAAAGTATCCACCTAACAACAAGGAAAATACATTCTATTAAGGATCTTTTCCACAAGACAAAACAATGGAACAACAGGGTCATCACCAACCTAAAGGAATCCTTGAGAGCATAATGGAATTAAAAATTGGAATGTGGAAACGTTACTAAAAATAAGAAGAAATAAACATACTCATAATGGTGTGGAAACCAGAGAAATGCAGGGGAAGTGGATAGCGAGGTTGACCCAAGTGCAACTTGAGCCCCAAGAAGCGAAAATACCAGTAAAGCCTCCACTAATGTTTTCATCTTTCCCTGAATAGAATTCTGCGGACAATAGGCCAATGTCAAACGGAAACCAATAAGCTAATTTAAACATCAATAACAAAAGGTAGCCCCGCGCAAAATTACAAAATCACGGAATCGTGGAGGGAAAGAAAATGCAGATTCCGATTCCGATAATCAGGTTCCAGAAATCCATACATAAAGGCAAGATCGGTAGAACAAGTAAAACAGATATATAGCAATTAAACCGTCCACAACTCCAATTGACCCCTTAGTACAGATTATTACTATGGAGTACTCATAAAACAGAACCTGGAAAATAAATGCAGAGAGTGGATGCATCAGAACCAACAAGAGTTACTGAGCACGGATATATCAAATGTTCGAAGTGATCATCAAGAAGAATAACGAGCTTAATGAGCAATCACGAGAATTGCGAGCGATAAATAAAGGATCGAGAAAACGAGAATGAAGAGCTGAATACTGAAATTTCTTCAAGCTTTGCCTGAAGAGTAACTGAAATTTGTTAGTTAGGATTCCAAGATGCAGGATGGATCGATATATGTTGATAATAATGGAATTCAATCCCTTCAGATGGAACGAATCAAGGAGAAGAGTACCCCGCTCATTTCGTTCATTTGTTGAGTCGTTCGTTCGTTCGTTCCTTCGTTCCTGTCGTCGCAGTGACGGACCATGACAGTGCAACGGCAACCGTCCACACGATGCTCCCACAGCTCCACAGCTCCTGTTCTTAGTTGAAGGGTCCGAACCAAAACGGAGCCGGAGCGGACGGTCGGACCGGAAAAACCAGTAATAATTCAGGCCCCGGTTCCGGTTATACTGTAAACCGCTAAAACACAAAAACCTGTTGAAAAGGTCAGAGAACCGCTGCAATCGAACTGCTAAACCGTTCGACCCAAGCAACGGTTTGCAGGTTATATATTTGATTTTTGCTGTTTAAAAATACAATAAAAACAAAAAAAAAAAGGCTCCCATATCCCCGAGCCCAGTTCATTCGTAAGGTAGGGTTAGAACGAAAACCCAGCTCTCAACCTTCATACCCCCGATGACCTGCAGCGGCCACGACCTACGGAGATGAGGCTTCATCTACGATGGTTTTGTAGTGGCTGCAAGCAGTTTGTAAGCTGTAAGTTTGTAACCTTTTATTCATCAAGGAGTTGCAGCGGCGGCTGACGGTTTTACAGCGGCTTCCATCGTTTAGACTTTAGAGACCAAGTCTAAAACCAAATTTCTACTTTGCAACGACTGGCAGTTTCTACATTGCAGTGGCAGTAGCAGTTTGCAGCGGCTTTTTGCTCCTCAACCGGAGTTGCAAAAGCAATCACCAACAAACAAACTAGAGTCCATCGGTGGCGATTTTTATGAGCCCAACATCGTCACACCACCATTACCGGCAGTGAAAATGTAAAAGTATAAAATGGTTACGAGAGTTACAGATTAATTGATTTTTTAAATCAAATCTTTTTTGCTTAATTATTTGCTTAACTAGTTACAAAGAGACATACATTTGCTTAATTAGTCTTGCTTCATTAATTTTTTTCTATATTTTTTCTGTAGTTTTTGTATTTTCTATGTATTTTATATTTTATTGTTTTTGTATTTGGATAATTTTATTTTTCTGTATTTTATTTAATTTTATGTTATTTTTTATTATTTATAAATATATTTTTAATTTTTTATTGGTTTATGATGTCACGGGTCGAACCGTTCGACCTAAACGGTTGAACCGTCAAACTGGAAAATGATCCCATGACGAATTCTGTTTTTGGGTCGTTTTAAAAACTTTGGTCCGAACTTTGAAGCGTTACATTTGAGGAAACTTTCAGATTAATACCTTGTATTTGGGCTTAGTGTCCCTTTGATCCCCACATTTCAAAATATTCCAATTCAGTACCTAAACTTCTAAATGTGTCAATTTAATACTTACCCTTAACTAACTGGTTACCTATATCAGGTGACAGGGACTTGAGACTTCTAAAAATGTTAAAATTATTCTCAAAAATAAAATACTGTTCAGGAAGAAGAAGAAACAGAGCCCAATTTTTTGTGTTGCGTATGAGTAGCAATGCAGAGGAGCATTGCAGGGTTACCTTTTTCTCTGGTCTCTTCCTCACCATCTTGGTTTGATAATCAATGTTCAATGAAAGAGTAAATGAAGAGGAGTGTTCTGGGTTTTCTCTTCCATTAACCAGGCGAAACCCAGATACGAGAAAATACTAAATGAAGTGTAGTAAAAAAGATAAAATGATATTCAGTGAAAACACTATTTCAAAACCTAGATCTAGATTAAAAAAATTTGTTCTCTATCATTAACTAAACGAAACCCAGATTCGAGACAGACTTAACTGAAGCAAAGGAATAAAACTTAGAACATAATTGCAAAACCCAAATCTAGCTTCAGAAATTTGATATTTAAATTAACCATACATACCTAACCATTGATGTGAGCCATAGTAAGAGCGCACCACACTATGGGATATGCACTTCCACCGCAAATTATCAACTTGGGTATTTCTTTTTTCTTTTTTCTAATCCTGTATTTGGATGTGATGTAAATTAAGTAAATTAAGAATTGATATAAAATTTACATCGGTTCGCTTTTTGTATGCGTTTGGTAAAAAAGTGTAATCATTATTGATGTAAAACTACACTTCAGTAATTTACATTGGTTCGCTTTTGTATGCATTTGATAAAAAAGTGTAATTATTATTGACGTAAAACTACACTCCAGTTTAGTTTTGTGTGCGTTTGAATGGAGTGTAGTTTTATGTCGATGATAGATATAAAACCTCATCACATTTAAAGTTTTACACCGATAATCGATGTAAAAATTACATTGATTTTATCAATGTAAAACTTAAACAACTTTTTACATCCATTTCAAAATATAATGGTCATATATATTTAAGGTTCAGTGTAAAACGTCATCAATGTATTTTTACACCGATAACATTTTACACATCTTCCAAACGCAGCCTTAGGAGTTGGGGCACTTTATCTGCTCGACAACGATGCAAGAACTTTGGGTTGGGACGATTCGATCACACCAAACAATAAGACGCTTAGATGCTTCATCATCTAATGTATAGATGGTTCTCTCAAAGATACTTATTTATGAAGAAGAGGTCCAGTTAAAGATTTTCAAGGCAGGGAATCAGAGCTTTTGGAGACACAAAAGAAAGTTAAGGGACAAGCCAGAGTTCAAGCACTCAATGAGTTGCAACAGGTTGTAGCCACCCATGAATTATTGAATTTGATGCCACCCACCAAGATCTCTTCATAGTACATTTTTAATGAGGGGTCCATCGAAACCAATGGAATTGGTTAGAATTTGGCGCATCTTCTCAATGTTTTAATCCCTTTATTATACTTTGCCTTTTAATCCTGAAAAAAGACAATGGTTGATAAAAAAAATGAGATGATATTTAGAGAGCATTTTTTATCTTTTCATATATCACTTAGGCTGTGTTTGGTTGCAATGCAAACACAAATATGTACACTACATATTTAATTACCCATTTTTCGGTTCATGAATGTAAATACGGTTTACATTTTAAACTGTTTTTGCATTCATCTTGTTTGTTTGAAACCGGTGCAAAGTGTGGGCCCATCATTAAATGCTCCAACTATCTTATGCTCCAATGCCTTTAACTTTAGTCAAAAAGTTAATTATCAAAAGTAATGCTCTCTTCTCAAATACAATTTTGCTCTGATAATCATTACCTTTTTACGTATCAAACAAACGCTTGCAAACGTGGACCGAGGTACATAAATACCCTGCTTCGGCGTTTGTATCGCAAACAAACGGAGCATTAACAGCTAATCAAGAGTGAGTATTAAATTGACACATTTTAGAAGTTTAAATACTGAATTAATACGTTTTGAAGTTTGGGGGCCAAAGTGACACTAGATCCAAAGTACAATGTACTAATCTGAAAATTTTCCTACATTTTATTACCTTGAACCTTCATACATACAACTCTACTAACAAGGGTAAAAATTATAAAAATACCCATGTTTAGATTCTCCCTTTCCATGATTGATACATAAGGGCGATAAATATTGGCTGTTGAACTTTTAGTCCATTTTGTGGTATTATGGTAATGCATTTCTTCAAGCAATTGATTTATAGGAAAAGGCCCAAAGTAGTATCTCAATGCCAATGTTTTGTGGATCTTCACAGAGCGTGCGCCACATGAGCATCTCATGTGCATTGAAAATATCATCCTTACTTCTCATTGGAAGATATTTTCAATACACAGTTGGGATGAGACCAGATTTGCTCCTCACGTAGGGCACCTCACACATAGATCCTACCATGCATTGGGAACATCTCCTATACTTATAAGTTATTATTCACGGGAGATGTTCCCAATGCATGGTGGATGTGCCTGTGAGGCACCCATGTGTGAGGAGCATATCCCGTTCCGGTTGAGATGCACCATAAGGGCACTTGTGTGAATTCAGATATTCTCTTTCTAGAGGGTTACTTATTGATCAGTCAAACCACTGATAGGGCGAAATGGGATTTGTTCCTCACACAAGGTGCCTCACACATCCCACTGTGCATTGGAAACATCTCCCTTAAATAATAACATATAAGTACGAAAAATGTTCCTAATGCACGATAGGATGTACCTGTGAAATTTGTGTGAGGCGTAGCATATTGGTTTTGAGACCGAATCACGCTTGGATGTGCCTGTGACATATCTATACTACTTTAAAAAACATGAATAGCCTCAAGAATATTTCTATAATTTTTTAAGGACAAAAGTTACCCCTCCATATTTAAATTTATTGATAAAAAATGAGGGCTAATAGGGTAATTCGTTATTAATATTAAATGAGTTTAAAAGAGGAATGTTAAGACATTCAATGCATTCAATTCTCTCTTATTAAATCCAACATTTAAGGAATTAACTTACATTCACTTTCCTTGAATCATATATTTAAAACATTTTTGTTTCTTTTCATCATTAAGTTCTAATAATTAAATTCATACATAATAAATTAAAAATTCCAATAACATAAAAACTTATACTTTTAAAATCTACCAGAAAAAAGTAGTGTTTTCATGTAGGGGTGGTAAGAAATTAAACCATTTTGGGTCAAATGGGCCAACCCATGCTACCACAATTAAATAATATAATTCAAAAATAGATAAAATGCAAAAAATATAAAAATTAAAAAAAAGGAACATTTTAGCATCACATATTCGGCATATTAAACAATAATATGTATGATAAATAAGAAATATTTTTATTAATGATGAAAATGGAATGTAAAATTTAAAACCAATTGGATATATTCTCTCATTAAATCCTATATTTAAGATATATTTTTTTCATCAATAAATTCTACTGATTAAAACCACAACATTAATTTTAATACTATAAAAATAAATATTTTGAAAAGTAATTTGAGAACAAAATCATTTTCTTCCCTCCCGGTGATGGGTAAGCAATTTAACAATTCTGGGTCACATGGGTTAATAAATAATGCCATAATTAAATAAAAAGAAATTAAAATAAATGTATTTTTAAAATATATAATAAAAAAAAGAATTGGGCATATCTCTAATATTGTATATTCATTATAATAAACAAAAATAAGTATGAAACATAAGAAGTATTTTTATTATGGTGAAAATGAAATTCCAAATTTAAAATCAACCTAGAAACAAATTATGTCATAGTCAAATAATAAAACTTTTAAAAATAAAGAATGCAAAGAATCATACAAATAAAAAAATAGAGAAAGTTTTGGGTACATATCTAATGTTATATATTTATAAAAAAAAACAAAATATTGGGTACATCTCTAATATTATACATTCATTATATTGAACAAAAATAAGTATTATACATAAGAAATAATTTTATCAATTCTATGGAAATGCAATACAAA